AGATGTATATGAATATCCAAAGAGGGAAGGGACAGATAGTGAGCTGAGAGGGGAGAGTGAGATAAATCTCAGAGTTACAGAGTTTGGTGGGGGAAGGGAAACGGAGGAATTAGGAAAGCTCCAAGGGAGATCTGAAAAATAGGGTAATAGGGGGCATGGATCAATGGGGATTAATTTAATGTGCTATGCAAAACTTATACTTGGACCAGGAGGCACTCATCAGAACAGAGCAAAGAAATACTACAAGGTTCACAATTGGGAGGGATGTGCATCAAGAATGTGTCCTATCTCCATATCTTTTCAATCTATATGTGGAACAGTATATCTGAGAGGCTGGGCTCTATGAGAAGCATGGCATCAGGATTGTTGGTAGACTAATCAACGATCTGCATTATGGCAGATGCTACAACCCTGGTTGCTGAAACTGAAGAGGACCTGAAGAGCTTGTTGCAGAAGGTCAAGGACTGCAGCCTTCAATATGGATTGAAGCTCAATATCAAGTAAACAAAGATTCTCACCACTGGGCCAATTGGCAGCATCATGATAGATGGTGAAAAGATTGAGATTGTTGACAGCTTTAGTTTGCTTGACTCTACAATCAACACTCTGGGTACTAGCATCTAGGAAATTAAAAGACAAATTGCATTGGGAAAATCTGCTGTCAGAGACCTCTCCCAGGTATTGAGGAGCAATGCTATAAGTCTGGAGACTAAGGTCTGACTGATACAGGCCATGGTCTTTGCCATTACTTGCTATGCTTCAGAGAGCTTGACAATGACTAGGTATGATAGAAGGAGGGTTGATGCCTTTGAGCTTTGGTGCTGGAGGAGAGTATTGAATATACCATGTACTGCTAAGGATAACAAACAAGTTTGTCCTGGAAAGGGTGAAGCCAGGCTGCTCCATGTTACAAGGAGCAACCAGTCCTTGGAGAGGGCTGTCGCACTTGGGAGGGTGGAGGGACAGCGCAGGAGAGGAAGACCTTCGGTGAGATGGATTGGTTCTGTCACTGGGGTAATGGGGATAGGCATGCTGAAGCCTATTTTCATGGGGGAAAGGGAGAGTCATTTGGGATATAACCATAGGAAGCAGGGGTAAGGGAGTTAGAGTAGAAAATGAAAGAAAGATATTGGTACATCATTGACATTGCAATTTGATTTGCCTGTTGACCCAGTTCCCATTCATAACAAATTAGCTCAACTCACTGTTATTTAGTCAGAACGCACTTATAGCTTCTCCTCAAAAGGGTTTTCTGTAGGCTATAAATCACATGAGAAGAAACTACCAACTTTATCCTATGGAGCTGCTGGTGGATTGGATGGAACCAGCAGATAGTTGCTGCCTTTATGTTATTAGTGCCACTTCCTACATATTACACCACCAGAGCTTCACTAAGAATTAGAGAGAGAACCTTATTTTTTTTAAATTGGCTTTTTAAATTTTATTATTATTCGTGTGTGTGTGTGTGTGTGTACCGTCAAATCAGATCTGACTGGTACAGGAGGAGATTGTCCCTCCTTCTTTGGCAGAGCATCTGATAGATTCGAACTGCGCACCTCTGGGATTGCAGTGCAGCTTCTTGCCACTAGGCCACCAGAGCTCGCCAGAACCTTATGTTCGTGTCATTTTACAAAATACTGTCTTATAATTGGCTCACTAATAATCCAGACTGACTTGCTAGATGATGTTAAATCAGTTCCCATTCATGGCAAACAAAAACCTGCTGGATCCTCATGCTGCTGTGCTTGAGCCCATGTTGCAGTCATCTTCAGAGTCTTCATCCTTATTACTGACTCTCTGCTTAACCCTCCTCCAGGGACTGGTACCACATTCAAAGCACATAATATGAAATCTCTCCATCGTCACTCCTAAGGAATTTTCTCATTTTACTTGTTCAAAGACTGATTTGTCCATTTGGTCTGTGATTCCAGGATATATTCCATATTCTTTGCCAACATCATAATTTAATTGGAAGCACCTTAGCCTTCCATATTGACTGTCCAGGTTTTGCATGGTTATGAGACAACTGATAATGCCAGTGCTTTCAGTCAGGCCAACTTTTGCCTGAAAAGAGTGCCAGAATCCCCAATACCGTGCCCCTTAGACTCTTTTCACACTTGAAATTGAACGTGTCTATAGGGATACACTTTGTAGTCAAATCATTGGCAGACCTATAAAGAGAACATACAAATTTGTAAGGAATGTATCCTTCATAATAATAAAACATTTGAGGCAAAAATGCAGCATTTGTCCCAAACTAAAGCTTAGAAGGCAAGAAAGACAGATAAATGGAAATGGAGAAACCAGTGAAGACGTGGGAAGAGTGCTGTTATATTGAGGCTGCAACTTATGACAAAAAATGTGTATTAATTTTTAAATCAAAAACTATTTATTAGGAAAACCTAAATACATAGGGGTTTTTGGTTATTTTAAAATTTTATATTGGTTTGAATAAAAAATACGTATGCATTGTGTTTCATTCATATATGTTTCACACATTCTTTCACTCACATTGTGTTTCATACAATAATTCTCATACATTGCGTTTTATAAAATTAATCACCATTGATCTAAGCACACTATTACCCCACCTTTTCAGGTCCCACTGGATCTCTCCTAATTGTAGAGGGCATCGTTGAAGTGTTGGATACTTTTTAATATCATGAGCTGTAGTTAAATAGAACTATATAGTTGGCATCTACTCACACTCTAAATTCAGGCTACGGTGTTTCAGTCACTTGCTATACATATGAGAGCTGGACAGTGACTAAGTATGATTGAAGAACAATGATTACCTTCAGTTGTGGTGTTAGAGCATATGTCTTGGAAAAGGTGCAGCCAGCGTACTCCTTAGATGCAAAGATGATGAAGCTTTCTCTCATATACTTTGAGCATGTGTCACTAGGAGAGTTTTTCTTTGGAGATGAACATTATGCCTTGAAAAAGTGATAGGGCAGTGAGAGGATGAACCTCAAACAGGTGGGTTGACATGGTGACTGTGGCAATGGGCTTGAGTGTGTCAGAGATTGTGAGGATGGTACAGGACAGGTTCAGATGGGTTGTTCATCAGGTCACTGTAAGTCATACTCAACGGCAAGCAACAACTCACTCTAAATCAATCCAAATACTTAATTCCACACCTCCTTGTCTCAAAAGAATCAATCTCGAAGTTTTAGATTCTTAATAAAAACAGGCAGATCATCTCTATGTAGCATTTTTGTATGTCCCAATATCTAGATATTTGTCCCTTGTAAGAAAAAAAAAGATCGATATTATATTTTGCTGATTATTAAGGTTATTATTATTATTATTTAAAAAATTATAATTCATATTAGGCAAATTGTTATTGAAACAAGCCTCATGTTTCCTTCTTCTGTGAACAATTTTATCACATTTCCACGAAAACACTTGTGTGAAATTACTGATAAATGTTGTAGCAATAGGTGGAAGTGGCATGGTCTAGGATACCTGCTTATCCTATTTATTGTGCTTATCAGACCCTACCTAGGCTACTACTAAATACACCATCCTGATTATTAAGTATATTGCATTCTACTTACTTATTATTCTGTGTATGTGAAAATGACAAAAAAATGATCAAGACACGCTAAGAGTAAGGACACAATTTTACGGTCACATGCCCAATCCTTTAAGAAGCTTTGCTGAAAATTTCTATTCATACTTTCCAGAGATTTCCCAATATAGTCTAACAGATATATCTACTAGTGGCATCCAAGGATAGGATTTATATACTTGGGTTTAATAAGAACAAGTGATGTGGATGTTATGCACCAGGAAGTGGACTACAGCAACCTTATGAACAATAGATCTGAATTCTGCCTCACTCACAATGGGCCATCCTCATCATCTTTGATATATTTGAACCTTTTATTACAGTTGTTGTGTCAATTCATATTGTTGAGTGTCTTCCTCTCTTCCACTGACCCTCCACCTTTCCAGGTACGATGTATTTTCCCAAGGACTGGCCCATTCTAACAAAATATCCCAAGTATGTGGGATGAAGCCTCACCATCTTTGCCTCCAAAGAGCACCCTGATTGCATTTCCTCTAGGATACACTTGTTTGTTCTTTTGGCAGTCCATGGGATAGTCACTACTTACTCCAACACCACAACTCAAGGCATTGATTTTTCTCTCATCCATATTCATTGTCCAACTTAACTTTCAGATGTAATTAGCAAGTAATTAGAAAGACCATGGTTTGAATCAGGTGTACCTTAGTCTTTAAACTAATGTAAACCAGATGCTCTGGCCATGCAGCCAAACCATAACTAAAGAAGCTAACTCCCCTGGATTTGGGCCTGTGCTCTGATGAAAGAACAAGTGATATTTAAAAAGTTGATTCAGCCTGTGAAATTTACTAAGGACATTTAAAAGGTCTTCTTTGATAAATGATGAGGAAAAACCTAAATGCTACTGTAACTGATAAATAGATGCCAAGATGTCAGATTGAGCTACATTAAAAAAAAAAAAGTAGATAAGACCAAACTAATAAAGCTCTCATATAACTTTGTATTTGGCCTACCTAGCCATGAACTGAATATAAAAAAAAAAATGTGAGTAAATCCAGTACTAAATGTATAGTTAGACTACATATGAGAAAGCAACATTTTAATATGAGAGATATTGAGATAAACATGTAGCATGGGACTTGGAATACATATTTTGACTTGATAGTCACTGCTTCCAACCAGTATCTGGTCAATCTTTTTTTACAATATAGGTTTTCTTGAATTGTTGTTGTGTGCCGTCGATTCAGAATCAACTAATAGCTGACCCTTCAGCAGATTTTCATATTCAGTAAAACACATGGGAGGAAAAAAATCCCATCCTTCTCCCTCGGAGAAGCTGGTGGATTCGAACCATGCACCTTCTAGATTGCAGAGCTGTTTTGTTACCACTAACCCTCAAGAGTGCCATAAGAAAATTATTTTATAACATCTGTATTTATAAAAAAATTAAAAAAGTAAAGCATCTTACATTGCTTCTGGGTTCATTATACAGACTGCTCCAGGACAATGACAGTTGCTCTTGTCATCATAAGGTATCCCCATGCTAAGACTCAGTAACTGAGCTAAAATAATAGAAAGTGACTCCAAATTTATAATCTTGGGGTGCTGGAAAACAAGAAGACACATACACAGATATACACATGTGTGTAATTTTTGGAGACAGTTCACTTACTTATCTTAAAAGACAGTTTACTTATCTTAAAAGTTCACATACTAGAATACCATATAGCTAATATTCTAATTACAGAATTTTCCTGTGGGCCTACCTCATCTGATACAATTATAATTATCAGCTTAAAATTATAAGAAATAAAATTTGAAAATCTACCAAAATCTAATTGGATGAACATTTTGGTAATATCAAATAAAAACTTTCCCAATGTACCTTGTTAATGACATTTTCCAGAGACATACACAAAAATAGCAGTGCTAAGCATCAAATCATAAATAGGTTTCATATTCATTTATGATTTAATTATTTGGAAATACTATTTTACATAGCATGCATGTTTTTCTTAAATTATCTTTTTAATTATTAAAGTAAAGACTTAAAATATGATGGTACCTTTCAAGAGTTTGTTTAAACCTCATTTTAAATATTTAGGTCTTTATCTAATTCTGTTTTTGCAGCAGCACATAGTGCATTTTGACTACAATGGTGGTCAACTCAAAGGCAGGCAAGTTTAAATCTACTAGCTGCTCCAAAGGAGAAAGAAAATCACTCGTGTGATTTACAGCCTCTGAAAACTCTTAGGTAGGTCAGATTCAACTTGGCTCTGACTTGAAGGCAATGAGTTGGTTGCTGGGTTAAAAATAAAAAAAGATTTTTAAAACAAACAAACAAACAAAAATCCCTCCATCTACAAACTATGATGACTACACTTTAAAATGTTTCTAGATACACATTTTAATTACCTTCCATTTATCTAATCTAATCTAATCTAACTCACAGTGATCCTCTATCAAGTTTCTGAGGTTGTAACTCTTTATGAGATGCAAATTCCCATCTTTCTTCCATAGAGTGGGTAGTGGATTTGAATTGCCAACTTTTGATTAGCAACTTGATTATGCCATCATGGCTCCGTTCAAAGGATTCCTTGGTCCTGTGTTTTGTCTTAATTCAGTCCAACAGAGAGGAGAAGATAGAAAGAGAATGATAGCAATGTATGTATTTCTATACAGGTACCTATAACTTGTATATATCTTTGATTTGAGGGTTTGTTTCCGTCTACAATCATTGTAACATGACTCTCTTCTCTTGCAAGTCTAGGCTACCAAGCAAATCTCAAATCTCCTTACTAAATCTGATACAAATCCACTGCTCTCAAGTTGATTCTGACTTATAACAATCAGGTTAGAGTAAAATTGCTCAAAGGGTTTCCAAGCCAGTAAATCTGTACAGAAGATGACTGCCACCTTTTCCCCCAAGGAGCTGCTGGGGAGTGCATGTGACTGACCCTTGTATTATCAGTATGTCTATTTACAGTGTAACAGTGCTCCTTCCTTATTGTTTACAATATAATACACTGCCCCAATACTTTGCATATTCATTAATTAGTGGGTTCTTCATCAAATCAACATACCTGAATGTACTTTGTTGTTACATACAAATAGAAATGAGAGGAAAAAATTAATGATCATGACTGATTATATGAAAGACAAAAGTTCTGCTATAAAAAAAAGAGTTCAGCTATATTTCAAGGGTTTAAATAATTGTTGTTGTTGTTGTTAGGTGCCCTGGAGTTGACTATAATCCATAGTAACCCAAAGAACAAAAGATCTGAATCCTGCCCTATCCTGTAATATCCTCATCATCTCTGATCTACTAGAGCCCATTGCTACAGTCACTGTGTCAAATCATCTTTCTTTTCCTGTTAAGAGTCTTTCTTTCTTTAGCTGATCCTCTACTTTCCAAGCATGATGTCTTTTCCATAGACTAGACCCTCCTAACAATATGGTCAAAGTTTGTGAGACAAAGTTTCATCATCCTTGCCTCCAATGAGCAACCTGGTTGCATTTTCATCAAGATATATTTATTTATTTGTTCTTTGGCAGTTCATGGGATATTCAATACTTTTCTCCAATACCACAGCTTAAAGGCATCATTATTGTTCTGTTCTCCTTTTTGTTTTTTGTTCAACTTTCAGATGTATCACAAGTGATTGAAAAAAATCATGGCTTAGATCATATGCACCTTAGTGTTTGAGGTGACATTGCAGTTCCTCAGCACTTTGGAGAGGTCTTTCACAACAGATTTCCCCAATGTAACATGGTTTTTGATATCTTGACTTCTAGTACCCAATGGTTTGATTGTGGATCCAAGGAAGATGAAGTTGACTGTTTCAATCTTTTCTCCATATATCATGATGCTGCATATTAACCTCGTGGTGATGATTTTTTTTGTTCTGTAAAGATGCAATCCATGTCCAGCAAGCATTTATGTTGCCCTCACTTTCAGCAAGTGAGGTTGTGTCCATTCCATAAAGCAGGTTGTTGATGAATCTTCCTCTGATCTTGATGCGATATTGTTCTTCTTTTAATTTTTTTTAAAATACTTTGCGTGTGTGTGCGTGTGTACCATCAAATTGGATCTGACTGGTACAGGAAGAGATTGTCCACTCCCTCTCCAGCAGGGCATCTAGTGGATTAGAACTGTGTACCTCTAGGATTACATTGCAGCCATACTGTTCTTCATAAATTATAGAAAAAAGGATATAGCACTGATGTACACCTTTCGTGATTTTAAACCAGGCAGTTTTCCCTTGCACTGTTCAGGTAATTGCTTCTTAGTTTAGGTTTTACATGATATAGTTAAGTGCTCTGGGATTCCTATTCTTCCTGATTTTAACCATGATTAGTTAAGTCTCCCACACTCAAATGCCTTAGTACAAACAATAAAACACAGATAGACATTCGTCTGGTATTCTCTGTTTTCAGTCAGGATCCATCTGACTTTGGTAGTGACATCCCCAGTACCAAAGACTCTTCTAAATCTGGTTTGAATTTCTAGTAGTTCGATGTTGATGTACTATTTTAGCAAATTTTTCATGATCTTCAGCAATATTTTGTTTGCATGTGATATGAATTACAATTGTCACATTCTTTTTTTGGAAATGACAAATATGGATTTCTTATAGTCAGTTGGTCAGGTATCTGTCTTCCAAATTTCTTGGCACAGCCTGGTAAGTACATCCAGAAATACATCTGTTTGCTGAAACATGTCAACTGGTATTTAATCTATTGTTGTTGTTAGGTGCTATTAAAGTAAAATATGACTCATAGCAACACTATGAAGAGTGGATGTGAACCCTGTTCTATCCTGTGCCATCCCCACACTTGCTGGCACACAAGAGCCATTGTAGCAGTCACCTTGTCAATCCATCTGGTTGAGGGTCTTCCTTTGCCGACCCTCCATGCTTCCCAGCATCATGTTCCTCTCCAAGGAATAGCCCCTCCTAACAACATGTCTTAAGTATATTAGGCAAAGTCTCACCATTCTTGCCTCCAAAGAGCACTCCGGCTGCACCCTCTTCAAGACATATCTGTTATTTCGTCAATTATTGGAATCTTACTTTTTTGCAAATGGCTTCAGTACAGCTTGAACTTTTTCTTTCATTACTATTGTTTCTTTACTATAAGCTATTCTGTATTCTTCATTCATTAGCCAGTTCTTTTGGTACGGGGAGTCTGTAATTCCTTTAAAGAAGCGTGAGGATTAATAAAGAAAAAGTTAGCACACTTTTCTCCAACTTCAATAACCAGGACTATTCTCATCTGCCATTTCCATTAACAATGGCATCTCCTTCTTTATGGCGAGCTTGTTTTTTCCAGTAGCTTAAGTTCTGTTCCTCTTTATTAAAGATTGAAGGAAGTACTTCTTCATGTTAGACTGTAATGTATTTCAGTGTTGCATGTGACTGATTAAGTCAGTCAAATTCTAGTTCTTGAGACCAGGCAAATTTGTGACCCATAAATATAGGTCACATTTTACAAATTATGATTTATTATATTGGTTTTGTTATGTGCCACCAAGTCTACTGTCACTATGAAGTGACACTAAAAATTATGGATCAGGAAACTCCTCTAGCCTCTGTCATCCTCACCATCTGTCACATATTTGAACTCATTGCTACTGTCACTCTGTCAGTCCATCTCGTCAAGGGTATTATTTCTAAGTAGCACTCTGACTTCATTTCTTCCAAGACAGATTTGTTACTTTTCTGCATAAAACAAAGTATATTCAATATTTTTTAAAAAAAAATTAAAACTCAAAAGCATCAATTTCTCTGTATTCTTTATTCATTATCAAAGATTCACATGAACATGATTCATGTGAAACAATGGTTTAGGTGAGGTGAGCTTAAGTCTTTAATATCTTTGTTCTTTAATGATTTTTAGAGGTCCTTGGTAGGAGATTTTTCCAACACAATATATCCTTTGTTTCCCTAACTGCTGTCTCCATGGATAATGATTATGAAAACCCAAAGGAAGATAACTATAAGTCAGATTTAACTTTAAGGCAGTGAATTTTGGATTATTAACTGCTCCAGTTAGGGAAGCTGGTCACTGTGGGCCACTCCACTGACCAAAGAGGACAAAAGACTTTAGGAAATGGGTTACAATAAGGCAAAATTACCCCAGTGCTGCTCTGCAGACCAGAAAGAACATGAAGAAATTTAGAAAAGGCAAACTTTGCCACTATATACTACACAGGCCCAGAAAGAAATTTCAGTAGAGAAAACTGTACATCCTCATAGATGGAACACATTAAGCCTGTAAATAATCTACAATATCATAAAGATAAAGATCTATCAACAATCTGTGCAGACATAATAGAAATGGCCAAATAAATATCCAGAAAAACTTCACATAATGTCAAGAAAGCATCAGGCTGCTTCAAATATTGAAAAGAAAAACACCACCAAAATAAGCCTTCTCCACTTCCTAAACAACATGCCTCTGGAAACTATGAACTTTGATAAATGATGATAGTTATAGAAATGCTTCAGGACTTTTATTCATAGGTGTCTCTATGAGATATGCTTGATTTGACAGCAATCAACAACAACATCAATCATCTAAAAAAGCAGAGCATATTGTAGAAC